CTCTGCCAATATTTGTCGCTTTAGGGCATTAAAACAAACGTTTCTCGTTGCGTTTAGCTTTTGGTGCTGCCTGCAGTTTTTTGTTTTGGCTTTCCCGTGTTTTTTGCCTAGCACACGTTTCACATGCACTTCAAGTGCCCACAACAGGCGCTGCAGTTACAGCAAAGCACACACACACACACGCAGCGAGCAAACGTTGAGCGCGAAACGCGCAAATCACGGCCCAAACTGAAGCGCAACAAGAGGAAATTGCTTAATTCTAGGCAAGCCGCAGAGCCAATGCTCTGCAGAGCTCAAACTCAATAAGCCCAATATTGAGTGCATTGCTCCGAAAAGCTGTTGAATTTGAGCAGAATTATATTAATGTCTGCATTCGAGCAGCTCTCAGTATAAATTAATTATTATTGGTGAATGATTAGTTCATTTGGGAACTTTCTTTCCTTCTAATGCACTGCAAGCTTGTCAAGGCTCGATCCACAGCACAGGCGACTCGATGAAGTCGTATTATCCAGCTCTTGCATAGAGCATTATAAGCTCTGGCCATTTCGATTGCCAGTTGCCGTGGAGCTCATGTGAGTCTCTGGCAGTTTATACAAGTGGAGGCTGCTCGTAACTTGCAACTCACAACTCATGTGTAAAATGGGACAATGCAGGCAGGTTTTAGCTTTAATAAAGCGACTATGCGAGCCGTTGCCAGACCCACAGGCACACACCTACACACACGCACACACACACACACGATCTGACAATACTGTGATGGACATCACAGCGGGTCCTGGGACCCACCGGCGACCACTTTTTGGGTCCGGACTACACATGCTCCAGCTCTCGCGCCAACTCAACTTCAGGCGCGGGATTTTGGCTGTTTTGGTTGTTCGGTTGTTGGGTTGTTGGGTTGTTTGGTTGTTTGGCTGTGTACTTGATTTTTGGGCAAAGCGGCAAATAACATTTTTGTTTGGCTTTGACGTTGTTGCAATTGCAACGGTTATTCCATTTGCTTGACAAATATACGCTGACGAGAACGAGAACGGCAACGAGCAGGAGCAGGAGCAGCAGCAGGCTCAGCAGCAGGAGAAGGTGAACGAGTACGGGCATGAGCACGATGGTAATGGCCATGGCAATGGCTTGCTACGCAGCGTTTAGTCCCCGGCCTGTAGACCTGTACACTAACAGCACAGTGTGTCCGGGAGTTCAAACTTTTAGCGGGAATTATGCGCATTTTTTTCCGGCAGGCGGCAGACGGCAAGTGGCAAGTGGCAAATGGCATGTGGCGAGCAGAGAGTGGAGAATAACGCTTAAATCCAACTGCAATGGCTGGGTTAATGGCCATGTGAGTGTTTCTGTCTGCCACTGCCAAATGGGCTTTCATGCAGCATGCAAAACAGATTCTATTGCATACTTTTTGGGCTCTTAAACATCAAAGTAATAGACAGCCGGCCTCTAGATCGACATCAAAGCTTATTAAGCTCAGGTTAAGTCCACAATATCAAAATACTTAAGCGCTTAATTGATTTGCTATCAATTTTGATACTAAAACCTAGCCTGGACAATTGCTTAGAGAACATTGGCAACTAGAATACAAAATTTGATATAATAAGTATATCCGACAGCTTGCTTAACTCGTCTAATTAAGCATAAAATGCAGCACTAGCAAATACAATAGGCACAGCAGCTGCTGAGCTAATGCAGAGAACAATTAATTAGATTGTGCATTTAAATGCAAGTCGAAGAGCGATAACAAAAGCTGCAACACTTGCCATAAATAATTTCAATTAATGTCAATTCAAACAAGAGCATTCACACACACGCACACACCTTAATTAAAGCAACTCAATTGAACGCAACAAAAATCATTAAGCCACTTAGAAACCGACATTAGAATAATAGCTAAAGGGGAACTGGAGCACAAACCAAACGATTAGTCTGAGATTTTTGACACATACTCACACACGCACACAGGCACACAGGTGTGTGTGTGAAAAGCCTAACAACAAAGTCTTGCTGCTGACTGCCACAATCAGAGCAACTGACACGGCAATTAGAACACAACAAAAACTCAACAGCAGAATCAGGTATTGGGCTGTGGGCTGTGGACGGTGGGTGGCGGGGCTGTTTAGGCCAACTGGGCGTAGTATTGTCAATCTGCCACTTTGCATATTAGTTATTGAAATCAGCTGTCAAAAAGTTGCAGGCCACAGACGTTAGCAGCAGCAGCGCACGAAAAACCCATTGATGATTGAATTGCCAATGGCTCACAGAGGAATAAGAGCACAGGCAAACACACACACACACACACACACATAAATACACTAAAGTGCTCGACGTGACCATGGCAACCAGGTGCACACAGACAAAGACACCTCTTGAAATGCTTCTGGGGAACGGTTGATTTGATTCCAGTTGCCAGTTGCCAGTTGCAAGCTCAGCTGCTGCTGCTGCTGCTGCTGCTGCTGCTGCTGCTGCTGCTGCTGAAACTTTAACAAAGCGACTCGTTGCTTTTATTGTTCGACTAACTGCGGAGGCAACGGGTAGAGTTATGTAGGGACTACCAGCAACAGAAGTGTGAATTTACGTACATGTGTAGGTATCTGCATGTGTATGTGTGTGTGTGTGTGTGTATTTTGTTCTATTTATAATTCAATTGTAAATGCATTTCAATTACGTGCACATTAAACAAGCTTGGCAAAGAGCAAGTTTTGTGGCCCCATCGCCAGCAGCAGTAGTTGCAGCAGCATCAGCAGTGGCAGTGGCAGTGGCAGTAGTGCAGACCGGGGGGCTGGGCCAGGACCTGGACCACGACAAGGACATGGTTCAACTTGACCACTTGACCATTAGCCATTAGCAGCGCCAACTTGGCGTACGTTACGTTTCGTTTGCGCTTCTGGGACAATTGGACCATTATTAAAACGCGTTGAGATGGCAAAACGCAAGTGGCAACAAAACAAAGCAAAACAAAGCACAACAGAAACTCAACTGAACTCAACTTAACAGAAGCCAAAGAGAGCAGCAACACGAGGAATAACAATGCAATGCCAACAGCAACAACAGCACAATCGTAATGGGCTGTAAAGTTTAAGGTGTGCGTGAGTGTGTGTGTGTGTGTGTCTGTGTCTGAAGAGTGTTGGATATTTGGAAAAGTTAAACAAAATAATTTACGTCAGCACACACGAGAAAATAAATAAAATTCCAAGTTATTTAATAGATGTGCTCCTTAGAATGATAAAATCATTGAGCATTCGTTTGTAGTAGTATAAATTGCATTTTTACTTCATTGTTTTACTTCCATTGTTTTATTGTTGAGTGCGACTTTTACTTTAATTCTTGCAAAGAGACTTTATCTCGCTTCCACACACATACACAGAGCCAGTTTAGCTCGCGCTGCACACTGAAACATTTATGTCCCACTCACTCATACACAGAACTCGCTCAGTGTATGTGTAGATATAAATGACTTAAATGAATTGTGTGTCTTTCAGTAATGAAATATAATAAATAATAAAACAATATTAACAAATATATATGTATGCAGCAGCAATAAGGTTATTTAATAAAGCGAATTAATATTAAAACATAAATAAGTGTTTAAGAGTATAAGTGTATATTTGCAGTCTGCTCGTCAATTTCCTCTCTTCTGCTCAAATTACTTTTCTCGCCTACTCTAAAAACTGCCAGTGATCAAGAAGCGCAAACACTATTTATCTCACTCGCACATGCTGTGTAAGCTTAAGACTAATGCTACATTCTTCTATTCTTAACTCTTATACTGGCAAGAGTTTGTCTCGCTCACACATATGTATATTGTCAATATTCATCGAGCGTCAATAAAAAGTCATGCAACTTTGTTAGATTTTTTTTATTTTTATACCCTGATCCCATTAAAAATGGGAAATCAGGGTATAATGGTTTTGTGCAAATGTATGTAACAGGCAGAAGGAGGCGTGGCAGACCCCATAAAGTATATATATTCTTGATCAGGACGACAAGCCGAGTCGATTGAGCCCTGTCCGTCTGTCTGTCTGTCCGTCTGTCCGTCTGTCCGTCTGTCCGTCTGTCCGTCTGTCCGTCTGTCCGTATGTGTGAACGCGTGGATCTCAGCATCTATAAGAGCTAGAGACTTGAAATTTTTTTTGTAGGTCCGTGTATAGCACGCGCAGGTCAAGTTTGTTTCAAATATTCGATAACTATTCGCATTTAATTGTTATCGAATAAAAACATTATTGAAATGCAGTAAATAAATTATATCTCGAACGTCTTAAGAGCTAGAGCCTCCAAATTTTGTATTTAGTGTTATGTATATTTTATGCAATTTTGATTTTTGTTGGATTTTGGATACCGGCTCCAAATTCCCCCAAATTCTTAGAATTTAAGTTTAGTTGGAACTAGGGCCATTATGTGAAGGCGTTTGCATCTCAACCAAGCCAATAGGATATGTAGATCATATGCTGAAAATTTCATTAAAATCCATTAAGTAAAACAGAAGTTATTAAACAAAACGTTTGGCCAATTTGCAAAAGCACATGTCAGCAGCGCCACGCGCACGCATTTTTCCTATGCGTGTGCACACATACATTCAAATGCGTGTATACTTTTCTATTCCAAGAATTGAAATTGCGATTGAATTGTGCTGAATTATTAGCTGCTACTTATGTTCAAATTTGCAACAGCTCGCGTAAGAAGGGCAGTGGCTGCGTTGGTAGAGGCACCTCTCGGATGCAGCTTGGTCCGGGTTCGAGACCAGAGGAGATGAAATGTTTTTTATTGTTTTATATTATTTATTTATTTTTTTTTTTTAGTTATGAAGTGGCGGTGTTGGTAGAGTTTGTGCACGTTGCGCAAATAATCCGGGTTCGAATCCTGGTCTCGCAATGTCGATTTTTATTTGTTTTCTTTTTTTTTTAATACTCGATACAAACTACGGAAAATATTACAAAACTCAAAGGACTGGGATCAGGGTATCTCCTAGTCGGGCACCCCGACTAGAGCTTTCTTACTTGTTTCCTTTGACATACGACCAAGAACGAACAACAAATTTAACACAACATTAACCAAAATACAAAACAAAGTGCTGCCATATATGCTATTTGCCCAGTATTAAGCACCACAACGAGATACAATTTTAGGCTTCTTGCATTTCTTATGTGAAATTGCACTCGACTTACGTTTGAAATCGCTTTTCACATGGCCATAATAACGTTTCAATGTGCGCCAGATGCAGGGGACACTCATGTCGATAAACTCTGACGTAATAATTGTGGGCTCTATGAATCTAAACAAAAACAACTTCGCATTGCGATTCTGGTACAAATAAATCGATTACCCCAAAAGTTCGGCTTCAAAGTAAGCTAAGCTCTGCTCTTACCAACAATTCGGGACACTGAATATAAATGTGTTTGCGCGAGGCAACATAAATGTAATCTTCCAGCTCAATCTCCGTCTCAATGGGCACTGGTGGCCCGATCACTGCTGGCCATGTCTCTTGAATGCGCATATTAAGCTCCACCTTTTGGCTCCATTCTCTGTAATTCGCAGCACCCGATAGACGCGGTATAGCCGCAGCCCGGCGATGAGCGAGCATGTTCTTATTCAATGTCGCGTCTGTATCAGTGAAAACTATTGTTCTGGTTGACAGCAAAGGGAATGCCCTGTCTGAGCCCCAAACAAAAAGCTACAACGAGTTTCAAAGTGTGTGTGCTTCGAGCGCCACCTTGGACCACATTTTGGGTTCAGGCAGCCGTTTAGCTGCCTTTCTGGCGAGTTTTTTAGGCCGTAACCACGACTCTAATGAGTGCTTGTACCGGCGCATTTTACAATTAGCCAAGAGTCAGCAAAGTGTGGCCCACCTGTAGTCCTCGTGTTGTCCTGACACACACACATACAACTCGTCAGGTTGGGCAGGTCCTTCGTACACAGTCTTTGGCAATTAAGTGCTGGCCAAACGTTGACCACAGGCCAAATGACTGGAGCCAGTTTGCTTTCATTAATTTTTGGCTGTAATCCTTGCTGAAGCTTTTCATTTCATTTTAGTTGTCGACTCACATTTGCTGTTGTTGTCGTTGTTGTTGTTGCTTTCGGCGTTGCACGTGCGTGTGCATAGTTCGTCTCAGGCTTTTTCACACTTTGTTTCTACGTGCTGATACCCTTAGATAGCCCAGAAAGCCTTTGGCTATTTTGTGGGCTTGCGTAGTTAATTATATGATATTTATAAAAGTCACATCTAAGGTCTGTGTGACAGTCTGTTGCTATTGTAATAAACTCTTATTATGATCACTCATGAAAACATAGACATTTTTTCAACTTGCTTATTTCCTTCGGAACTCATGTCTGTAATCGTGTCAAGGGAAAGCAGCTGCTTGAAATGATCTCACACTTGATTAAAATATCGTCGTATTCGCACTTAGTCCCCACACATGATAGGCTCTTGCCACATGAGGTCCGATGCTTCTCAGCACTTTGCGCCTTCTCTCTGCATGAGTTCAGCTCCAGTGAAGAGCATTTTAAAGTCGAGCTTAAGCTGGCATTTTCGTTTTTTGTTTCCGAATGACTGTTGAGTTTTTTCACAGTGGTCATGTTTTTACAACTGGGCCATGTCCAGCGGCGTCCAGGCCACGTTAATGACTTTTGTGCTGCGCCTGTCGCACGGCAAATGTTTTAAAACTGCCCGCCCGTCCTCCTATTGTTGTTGTTGTTGTTATTGCTGGACAGCTGGGCAGCTGGGCAACTGGGCAGCGATTGCCGGCCGGTTAGCGCGTTTGCCACAGCCGCCCGCAGTGTTTGCCAGGACAGCGGGCAACCGAGTCATTTGTACAGGTTTTTTGCAGACTTGCTATGAATAAGGCGTGGGCGATATGGTTACAGGGGCAGGGCGACTGGCGAATGGCGAATGGCGAATGGCGAGCGGTAAGGGAATTGTTAATTAAAGTATTGTCTCCTCGTTGCTGGCAAAATGAACAAGTAGACAAGGACTCGTCGTCGTTGTCACTATTGTTGTTGTTGTCGCTGTTGCTGTTGCTGTTGCTGTTGTTGTCCCTGTCCTGGGCATGGCCCTGGCTGCCCTGGCCGTCAATTGTCGAACATGGTGCTCTACAGTTCCACTTAACAGCTACAATGGGCACTTTGCCACAATGAATTCAAATGGATGCCCTGACCGGGTTGCAGATTTTCTTCTTTTTTTTTTAACAATTTCCAACACTCTTCGCTCGCTCTCTCCTCTCTGTCTCACGGTCACTGTGGTGCCTGCCATGTTTGCTACATGTGTTGTTATTGTTGTTGTTGTCTCGCTTCAGACGTACACACACACACAAATATATGTATATAAATGTGTATGTATGCACGTGCACATGACATGCACACAATGACAGCTGACTGTTGGCTTCCAAAAGCCCCCGAGGCGTACGAGTCAAGTACAAACAGTCGGAGCTCGGAGAGGAGCAGGAGGACGGCAGCAGTGAGGTATATTTCCCGCTCATGGGCACATTTTGGCTCGACGCGACGTCCGTCGTGTTGTGATTCTTTAATGAAAGCTTTAATTTGGGTTTACCAATTAAAACTACGTGGCAAATGAAATATACATGCTCGCCACACACACACACACACACACAAAAGAAGTGCCAAGAAAACAAAATACAAAATAACGAACATGTGATATACATGTGTATCTAGATACATATGTATTTGAGTCCGGCAGCAGACGTGCAATTTGAAGCTAAGACATGAGGACGCTATGTCCTTCGGGTGGGCAAACCGAATGAAAAATCACAAGAGACTCCAACTGCACAATTTTGGCGAATGCTTAAGTACAGTCTGCAGGGCGAATAAAAGCGATTTCCTTGTGAAGTCTGGCAACGCTGCCCGAAATGCAAGCAATTAACTTGAGTGAATTTTTATTAGAACGGATTTAGTTGGATCTCCACTCGGAATGCAAACTGCCTTTGTTAAATGAAATTAGAGCAGATGAATAACAGCTGAGCAAACGGGCAAGGTTACTTAGTTATTGTGGCTGCAGATTGATGAAAAGAGACTTGCTGCAAGTTGTTGTTGCATAGTTTACAATCTACAACTCTGTACTTATGTTCAACATGCACTCAACTTGCGTTAACATGTGCGATCTTTGCTGGCAGCGCTTAGAGCTTATCAGCAGTTTGAAACTTGTGCTGGCGGACATCCATTAATTAAGGAGCGGCATTCTGTCGCTCTAGTGCCTTGTCTTACGCCACCATTACAAGCTCGTACACGCTGGCAAGACGAAACAACGCGAAGTCCTTACATGGAGCACTCGAAGTTGGGCAGCGCCAACTGCAGCTGACCAAACAACACCTGCTGCCCAGCTGGCAATGGCCGCAGGGCGACTTCCGTTTCCTTCCACTGCTCAACTCGTGCGCACCTTTTTTACTTTTACTTAATTTGCCCTCACATGACTCCCAGCTCCCGCTCCGGCTCCAGCTCCAGACAGTCCATCCGTGTTCACGTCAGCAACGACATTATTGCTGCTGTTGTTGTCCGGCTGCAAGCGGATGGCTGATGGGTTTGTTGCCCGCTGTTGCACGGGACGCTATTATAACGCCATTTTGTGCACACACACACACACACACACACACACATACGTTGGCCACTAATTTTTTACACATTTTTCAACTCTCCATTATCCTTGACTATGTTTTTTTTGTTGTGTTTTACAGAACGACACGATGCGCTTGTTATATATGTATCACGCACAGGATCCGCCGCACGGCTCAGTGCGTCCTGGCACCCTGCCCGATCCGGAGCGAGCCTTTCGTCCTTATCGGCCGATGGTGCTGATGCAGCGCGCCCAGCTGCAGTTGCCAGCGCCGCATGACGAGCGAGTCCGTGTGCTGGAGCTGCGTAATGAGGACGTGGAGCTGCCCGCTGGCGATACGCCGCTCTTTTGGTGCAAAATGTTCAAGCTGGAGGATATCAATCGCAAGCATCATCTCATTCGGGTAAGGCACAGCCCGAGAGCCCAGCAGCTCGGCAGCCCGGCAGCCCGTGGCCATGACTAAACGTTAATACTTATATACAATTCATAATTGAGGCCAAGTGCAGTCTGCTGCATTCGGTATCCATTTTCTTTTCTTTGTTTTGCTTTTGTTTTTTTTTTTTGTGCTTCTTCGCCTCGGCATAACCAAATTGAAATATTAAAAATTTATTTATCTCTGTCTCTCCAACGCTCACTCTCGCCTTCGGCCTGGACTGTCTCTGGCTGGTGCTCATTTTCTTTTCATGGGACCGACAGTACGAGCCGATTTATGATTCATCGTCCAGCGTACACTACTTGCAGCACATAACGCTCCACGAGTGCCAGGGGTCGCACTCGGAGCTGGAGGAGCTGGCACGCGAGCAGGGCAGACAGTGCATGGGCGCCCGCTCCATACCGCTGGCATGCAATGCCATTGTTGCCTCCTGGTCGCGGGGCAGCGAGGTAAGCATCAGATTCAACTGCACTCAACTCAGCTGAACTTTCTCATCCCCATGGCCATCAGTGTCAGAACCATAACCATGCAATATTCATTTAACCTTCGCAAATGCTTCCTTTCAACACAAAATACAAGTTAGCTTTTACAGTGGAGTACGAAATATTTGATACCCTTAAAGCAAATGCGATTCGGATTTGTGAATCCTTAGGAGAGATACAGGAAATACGCCGTAAAGATCCAACACAGCAGCGCAATCAAAGCTGAATCAATCACGAATCAATTGAGTTTCTGTGTTCATTTTATATAAAAAATCTAACAGATTAAAAGAAATATTAAAGGCAGACAATTAAATATAAATCATATAAATTAATTTATAATTAAGTTTCCATTCAATCATATCTTTCACGTAGACCATACCGCGTCCATTCGTTAGTTAGTCAAACTTCATTTCTCTCAGTGTATTCACGAAAAAAGAAATGGCTTGGCCTTCTGCACTTTCGGAACCTTTTTGCCATGCTTTTCATAATTTCATCACAGGATCGCTGCCATAATGCAGTGCCATGTGCTGCCGCCAGGGGGCGCTACAGACTGCATTGCAATGCAATTGAATGGCAACGGCTTGCGTGGTGACTAGGTCCGAAAGCAGAGGCAGGTGCTGGGGCAGGAGCAAGGCTTTGGGGCTGTTGCTCCTGCTGCTGCTGCGCATTTAAATTGCACATGACCATGGCATCAACTTCCGTCCTTTATTTGCCATCCATACTGTATATAAATACATGCACATATATATACAAACCGACATATATAAATATGTATACTGCAAACAACAGTCGTAGCTTCTTTTTGTGCACTGCTTCGAAGTGAAAGCGGGCATATTAGTATTGAGAAAGACATTGAGACTTGCAGTTACACAGCTAACTTAGATATGAGATATTATTTCAATCAGTTTTCTGTCCATTCCTGCTATGTCTAATAGTAAAATATATATTTATATATATATATATATATATTATCATTATTAAAATAACAGTGTATTGCGCCGTTGGTCATGCTGATCGTCTGAGCGTTTTCCTATTTTCGAGTGAGCTTTTGTTTCATTTGTTTGCGCTTCTGTTTTACAGGGATTTACGTATCCACACGAGGCGGGCTACCCGATTGAGTCGCGACAGGCCAAATATTATTTAATGGAGACCCATTACAACAATTTGAAGCCGGACTTTGCCCAATTGCATGCCAGACAAATGGCGGATAATTCTGGTTTGAAAATCTACTTTACGCACGTGCTGCGACCAAATGACGCTGGCATTTTGTCAATCGGTAAGTTTTTGGCCTGGGCACATACTAGACATATACACAGATCTCTCTACATATATGCATAAGTGTGTGTGTGTGTGTGTGTGTAGCACTGCAGTGCCTGCTGCTGTGTGTATAAATTTTATGCGCTGCGATGTGATGCGATGCAAGCTTTCATATATGCAACTCATGTCATGCAATTTATGAGATTGCCGAATCCAAAAAACGACCCTGGGAGTTGCTCACTCGGAAGCTGGGCGCTGCGGCCCTCTACAACTGCCAACTTCCAACTGCCAACTGCCAACTGCCGACCGCATTGGTGGCAAGTAAAACAAAAGCTTATGAGTTTTGTGTCCATACATAAATGGGTGTGTGTGTGCGTTGTGGGTAAAGGTAAGTCCTGGCGGAACAGTTGAAACAACAACGTCATACATTGTCTATCCTGGCAGACTGCTTTCACGATTTCGTACAATAGAAATATATTTTTAATTGCTTATCAAGTGCGTCTCTGAGGTTCAGACCAGACCAAACAATTTGATTAGCCGTTGCTATTTGCTTTGTTTTTTACTGTTGAATTATTTATTATTAAATGGCGCGCAAAGCACGCATAAGGCGCATAAAGAAATTTATAATGAACATCTAAAACTTTGTAGAATTTGATATACGTATATTATTAATTTACCTGGCCTATGGCCCTGAGGGTTGAAAATACGTCAATTAGGTTTAGTTTGACTATTTGTTAGGACAGAAGCAGCCACGAGGGCTCATATAATATTATATAGTTAAGCTCCAGGCGAGCATGCCGCTCGTTATGTATGTTAGTCCATACTTTATTTGGGCAAGCCTTTATATGCTTCCTTTTCATAAGAGATTCTCAAATATTTACTTGTATATCCAGTTCCCCGAACTCCTTTCGTATTGCTCTGTTTAGCTGTGATCTCTATAGACTTTACAATTGATAGTTTCGGTAGTCTTCTGATCAAGTCTAAGTTTCTTGTCCATCAATCAGCCAATTATGCAATCAGAACAGTAAGAAAATAAGGCCATCAGTGAGACATTAGAATCTTAGTCAATCAGTTCAATCGGACAATTAGCAAGTCGTCAATTCATTACTCAATCAATCACAATACGTAATTGTATTATCAGTCAATCCATAGTCAAGCAATCAATTAGTATTTCAGTAAGCCCTTCAATCAGTCAATCCACAGTCATACAATCACTCCGTCAATCAATCAATCAACAGTCACTTAGTACTTCAGTAACTCAGGTAATCATACTATCGAGTAGTTTGTCAATCAGTATACTTCTTGCCAGTCAATCAGCAGACAATCAATCAGTCACTATGGCCGTAAGCCAGTAGACAATCATCTAATCGGAAACTTAGTCCATTCGTCCTACAGTTAGTCTGCCATATCTGCGAGTCTGGTCAGTCAACCAGCAGTTAGACCATCAATCAGTCAACCATTCTGTTAATCTTCAGTCACCAATCTAGCCTATGTAAGTCAGTCCAATCAGTCAGTAAACCAATCGTTGACAGCTTTTCACTGTTTACGCGTCAAGCAGTCACATAATTAAAAAGTTAGCTAGACTATAAGTAGACACAAGGTCTGCCTACAGTCGCAGAAAGTTGTCAGGCAGCCCTCGCTGCATAAGCCACAACAAGAAAATTCGTGTGTTCGCCCGGCTTAAGCGCTTTTTGAGTACATTTCCCGGTGACTTAGTACACCTGAACCACCACTCACTTGGCCCACAGGCGAGCTCAACAAATTTTCAGCTTTCCTCCACCCAGATATGTATGTGTGTGTGTGTGTGTGTGTGTGTATTGCCTGTGACTGTGACTGTGACTGTGCCTGCGCACAGGATAACTAAAATACTAATTTCACTTTACAATTTGTTTTCTATTTTTTCTCTCTTTTTTATTGTACTTCAGCTCCCTCTACTGCATCTATTTCTTATTGTTGTTTTTGCTGTTTGGTTGCTTCGTTTGGTTTTTCTATTTGCTTGTGGCCACCAGCCGAGTGGGCGGAGCACTGTGGTCGCTGTTATTGTTGTTGTTGTTGTAGTTGCTGTTGTTGTAATTGTTATTTTACTTTTGTTCATAGTCACGCAAACCAATATAACTTTGTTACAACCGCACAGAGACATGGCCAAACACAGTTGGGACTGCCCGTGTGTGTGTGTGTGTGAATAGGAAGTAAAAGAATAAGCCATGCAGGAGGCAAACTCCAAGCCACTCACACTTCAACCACCGCACGTTCTCGTCGATGCTTTTTGAGTAGGTGTTGCCAAAACTTCCGGAGTATTACGGCACAAAAGTAGCAGAAGTAGATTAATACATTCTGATACGCTGCAATTTCTAAGCGAATCAACTAAAATAAAAAATAGCACAAAATACAATATACATATATATATATATATATTTAGCTGTATATGTGTGTGTCTGCCACGTCATGCAGCTAGCTTTGGAGCTTCCTGGTTACGCTCGAATGGGCCTTTCTATGTAGCTCTTCGAGCAGCTGGCAATGCGATTGAAATATTTAATTGAAATTTAACGCATACCACAACACGCCCGTCAATAAATAAAAAATATATGTACGCACATACTTCTATATAAAAAATTAAGAAATATATATATATATATATATAGATTGGATACATTTTGCTGGCACGCTATAAATTGAATTGCGCTGGGCGCGGGGGCGAGGTAGACAGCAAAGCTGCTCGACCCAGCACGCGTAAGTAGCTGTGAAATTGCTACGCTTCGTTTTCCTGCAGGACTACGACTGTCTGGCCATAGATCTGTGGTTCTCTCCGCTCTCCGCTCTCCACCTCCCTCTCTCGCTTTATCTCCATCTCTGTCTCTCTGTCGTCCGTGTGGCAAAATTTAATTTCAATTTAATTGGTTATTGATATAGCGCCCTGGTGTATGCAACGCCGCTTTGATTAATGTTGCTGCGGCTTGGCGAATTTTTTATGGCACCTTGGAGATGGCGCATGGAGATGCCGATTGGAGCTTATCAAAGAGCCTACGAGGCTGTTAAGCCCACTGGGGCTTATAACCGAAAAGCTTAACGAAACAAAAGGAAATATAAATAAATTGATGAAAATTAACGGAAAATTCCTTTAAAAATGTCTACAAAATGCGAATGTCAGCATTTTCAAGCGATCTCCCAGATATTTTTATATATTTAAAATTGAAGCAATCTACTTACTGTGCTATGAAAAGTTCATAGACTGCTTAAAGTAAGTTCTGCTTTTATATATATGTGTGTAAGCATCTAGAGGCCTCCATTCAGTTTCCCGTTCTTAGCACTTGCTACAATCTCTGCATATAAATAATAATTTTATTCCAATCTGTGAACTCAGTGGAATTTCCTGTTTTCAATTCAATTTTCAATTTGGAATTTCGACTTAGGGCTTGTGGACTGAGGAGCTGAAGCGAGCTCTGTTCCAGTTTATCTGCTCTGGGTCATTTTATAAAATGTCATGAAATGAAATCAATCAATGTGCTGTGCGAAATCATCATCAATTTAATGCCAAAATGCAATTCATGCGCATTTATCAAATTTTCGAAATTAAAGTTGTGCAAAACTCTCGACCAATTGACAGTGTGATATCACGAAAGAATCGCGATTGTGCCATCCGTAATTTAATTACTGTATCTAAAGCAATAATTAACCATTTTTTCAAATCTCTCTCTCCCTCTCTCCCTCTCTCTCTCTGCAGTCGTTAAACATTCGGTTCCAAAAAGTATGCTTTGAAAATGTTTATGAAAATAAACTGCAAGAGATTTCAATAACAGTTTGCTACATAAATTACAGTCAACGATTGTCACTGTCTCTCTCTCTCTCTCACTCACTCTCTATACTCCGTTTCGCTCTTTTGATGCTTTTTCCCAATTTCCATTCATTAAATCAAATTCAATATTGGCCAAAGCGACGCAACGAGCGAGAGTTTGATTTTCAGCTTGGCTCTGGCATTTGGTTTGAGGTTGGGCGTTGCACGTTGGGCGTTGGGTGTCGAGGGCTTATAGTTCGGTATATTTGGCTCTATATCTATTTCGATTTATATTTGAGTTGGCCAGGCGAGTCCGTGCAGCATAACACAATTCATAAATGCATATTTTTCAAATCGATATTTAACATACGAGCAGTGGTCGTGGTGCGCGGTGCGTGGCTTGATTTTGGTAATTTCGATTGGCGTTGCACTTGCCACACGCCACGTTGACAGCAATGCCAATTCGCAGCGCTGGCCGTATCAAAAAATCGGCGGCAACTTTTCTAATTATTTTAAATGGCGATTTGCGTCGCACCTGGCGCACCTGCTGCAAAAACTCAATTTCAGTTTTCCGGGTCAACATTTTTCCCTTTTATTTCCCTTTTATTTCCGTATTTTCCTTTTTTGTGTTTTGTTTATTTCGTTTGTGACAATTTGATTAGCCTTTTAGCCCGGCCGTGGAATTGGCTATTGCCTTTACACAGAGATAGTTTAACTAAAGCGCATTTGCCAGAGTTGCAAAATATTTAATACAAAATATTTAGTTAATTTAATGGGGATCTGTGCGGCTGGCCGTGGGCTAAACAGCGCATTGTTATGCAAGCTGACGGCGCCGAGCCCCAAATTAAAATAGATTTTATAGTTCTACGCCAGATACGCTGGCCCGATGGCCTGTAATTGAAATATATATGCGCAATTGTAAATCGAAATAATGTTTGTACAATGTCCAATAGAACAAGAATAAAAATACAAATTTCATTATAAGGCCAAACTGATTCGCGCAATTCTTTAATTGAAACACAGTCAATGGGTTGCATTGATAGGATAATTGCCTGGGGCTATCTGCAATTATGGTCTGAGCTGTGAAAGCCAAAGAGAGCCCACTTGCGATTAGGCTTTGCCAAAGATTAACGAAAGAATTGCAAATTGAATTTGAAATTCTTTTCCAGTAAAGACCTGAGCTGCGTTGTCAGAATTGAAATATTATTTAATGAAAAAATGCCAAAGTTGACTTCGAGCAATGCCATTAGATCATCAATAAATATGATGTGATCCTTAGTTTTTATCAATCATGCAACAGCCACAGTTGAAAGGGAACAAAAAGTGACTCGTGTGGCATTAAAATTGCATCGCAGTTATGTGACTTGGCGCTGCGAGTATTACAGAAATGCAATCAACTCGATGTCACTCGCAGTGCTCGCCGTATAAAATGTTGCTAACCGAGCATGACTAAGCTATAAATATACACATGCAATTCCTTTACCGTAAAAGGGCTTTAAAAAACAGACGCCCATGCGGATTTACAATAAAAATCAATTGTTGGCCGCGGCACGGTGCAAAAAGGGTTTTTGCAAGCAATGCCAAGCATTTGACGCGGGTAATTTGATTGGCATACTCACAACAGCAACACACACACACACACACACGGACACATGAGCAATTGAAATGCCAAACAGTGGTATATAAAAATGTAAAAATGTAGCACACATGAATTTCAAATATTTTTTCAACATGACGCGCGACACGCGGCCCTAATTGCGTAGCCGAGTCGAGGAGGGCAGCTAAGAGCCGTACGACGCGTCGTATGAGCAATATTTCGCAACATTTAACTAATGGATATAGCGCGCATAACAAATTCAGTTAAGGCGAACACACACACACACAAATAATTCGATTACCGAAAATTGTTAAAAGACTAGAAAGATTCCTAATTGATACGGATGCAGCCTCTCGCTTGGCTGTGGGCGGTGCCTGGTGGCGCTTGGTGGTGCTGGGTGTTGCTGCTGCTGTCATTTGGCGGTTTTGTCTGCGTTGCTGCACTGACAAAGTTGTTAACAAACATCAAAAGCAGCAATTAAAATGTAATTACACGTTTCCCTCCAAATCGAATTAAAAAATCAGCGTTCAAAGCTAAGTAAGTAGAGTGCTTGGCTCTGCTCTGATTTCCAGCTATGTGTATGCCTGTGTGTATGTGTGTGTGTGTGGGGGGAATTGTGCATGTCGTGGCTTTGATAAAGCGCGCTTTGCGCCACTCTAAAGCGTTAATTAAAAGAATTCAACACACGCTCTCCCAACATTTGCAGGCATGGATCCCAACTGGCGCCACATTATACCACCGGGACAGAAGCGCGTGATATCCGAGGGCCAGTGCATTGAGGATTGCACCGGCTACGCCTTCCCCGGGCAGGGCATCAACATTTTTGCGGTCATGATGCGCACACATCAAATCGGCAAGGAGGTTAAGCTGCGTCAGGTGAGTGAATCGAGAGCCCCGCGCTTCCCAGATTTCCGCTGGGTATTGAGGACGAAGCTAAGCCAAGCCAATGCTAATGAGCAAACTAACTTTGCAGATACGACAAACCGAGGAGCTTCCGCCAATCGCACACGACAGCAATATAGATGTGGCCTATCAGGACTTTCGACGTTTGCCACAGTCTGTGCATTCCATGCCCGGCGATAGACTCATCGCAGAATGCATTTATGACAGTTCGTCACGAAAGGCAATTACGCTAGGTAAGTGCTGGCTGCTCCTCCACGCCGCTCTCCCCAGGGCCTCCACAAAATATATAGGTGGAGTAAATAAAAAATAGCAAGCAGCCATTGTCGTGAGCAAAAGTGCAAAAATTTCAATGCTCAACCGTCCGGGCAAACGGGCGAGTCGTCGTTATGACACATTTAAATCAGCCCAAACGATATGCGACAGCCGGCAGCCGGCAGCCGGCAGCAGTCAAGTAAAAAGTGAGCAAGTGCAGCCACGGAGCAAGACTCAGACTCAGACTCAGACTCAGAGCCAGGCACCGTCAGTTGAAGCAACGAAAAAAAGAGTACAGCGCACGACAGGCGCCTGGCAAGTAGATGAAGGCAAAAGTAGATGCCGTAATGGAGGAGTCGCTGACGACCTCATTGTAAAATACATAAACCAAGACATTGAAACATTTCACTTAGCACGAAACAGTCAGGTGTTAAGCGGGGTGCAGATGCACAATTGCACGAGTAATGTGGGTGTGGGTGTGGGTGTGGGTGACAGGCGGCACGGTGTGAGCCAGAAACCAAGCCGAACTGACAGCTGAGCAAGTCCCCAGCAAAGTGGACAATGTGACAGTCAGATGTGCGAGAAAGAACAAGAGACGCATCGGTCCAATTCAAAAGGAAGCGAGCAATGGCATGTAATAATATGGAACAGACAACAATGAGACGAAGTTGCTTACAGCATCAGAAATGGTTACAGGAAATTTCTTAATGCACCTGATGCACGAGTATATAAAAAAACACATGACAATGGTAAAGATCTTAGAATCTTACTGAAAAAATTGTACTTTATAATCTGGAAAATGATGTATGACCATCATTACGGGGCTAAATATATAGTATATATATGCCAAAGTAGTTGTCACCAACTTAGCCTACGGTTTCAACAACCATTCAAAAGAGTAAAGCAGAGTTTTATTATATATCTGTATATTCTATAGACTTGGCAGCTGCCCGCCCTTGCACAAAAAGTGCAGACAGAGGAAATTTGAGTTTCTTGCTTGATGCACACAATCCACAGCATTCACAATCTAGACTAAGTGAATGAACGTAGCGGCAACAATTGAGTGCAACTCTATGGAGACACAATCGTAATAGACCATGGCTAACGATGTTGCACTAAGGGCGGCACAGAGGCATGAAGATGAATTCTGGCGCTCACACAGACAGACAGACAGACGGACAGACGGACAGGCAGCTCGGCGAGCACATGCGAATAGAAATGCTCTGAACTGAGCAGTAAAACAGGCAGTCAGGCGTATGCCTTGAAAACATAAAGCTTCCAGCTCCAGCTTAAATAAAGCAATGATAATGACGCAGGCGATGAAGATGCCGATGTCGATGCCAATACCGATGACGATGCCAATGCCACTCCATCAACAACTGTTCCAATACATACTGCATACTTCGTCCTGCGTCCTACGTCCTTAGGCCTTCATCTTTCAGGATTCATCCTGCATGCTTCAGTCTTCAGACTTCAACTGACATCAATGTCTTCTGCGGAATATTATTATGATGGCGCCTGCTGCTTTACGGCCAGCACTCGCTTAATTTTCTCCTTTGTTCATAGCCAGTGAGGCGGCGAGCCATGGAAATGAGCGCTGGCGATAGCTGCTGAACGGGCGGCAGCTGCAGCTGGAGCTGGAGGTGGAGCGGCAGGCTTCGTTGAGACGACTTACCTGGCCAGCCAGCCAGGAAATTGTCCTCGCTGGTGACTGTCGCCAAAGCTGGTCGTTGTATTTATGCATTTTGTGTGTTGTCAGCCGTGCAATACTTTCTTTCTTATTTCAATGTAAATTTATACCCTTCTAGAGGGCACTACAGCTATATCGTGAGCGCAGCACCTGTCTGCTTGGAGTCAATATGACATCAGTCGATAGTCTCTATGTCTTTAAGCCTGACACTGTAGTATAATCCAAGCTACTTGATTATATGACTGCTATTTCAATATATTTGTATAGAATCAATGCAAGGGTATTTATTCTTCGGCTTGTTGTCGTTCGCTCTTAATAAAATGAATTTTATTTGTTTATTTTGTTTCCGTTTACTCGTTGTTTCCGCTGCACTTCTTATGCGCTTCTTTTGCTCGCTTCTCCCTTACAGGTGGCCTCACAATGAAGGAAGAAAGCTGCACCGTGCTGACACTTTACTATCCGCGCCAAAAGAAGCTGACAACGTGTCACTCACTGCCCAGTCTGCCCACCGTGCTGCATTCTCTTGGCATCGAACAACTCGCAACGTAAGTCCCCCACTTTATTATACAAATGTTACACATATAGACTCATATATATACACATATATTAAATGGGGAACTTGCATAAAGTCGCCCACTGCAGAGCCAACGGCTTTGATCGCACAGCGAGAAGCGAGTGTCGAGTGCCGAACACAAGGCTCGGTATAAATTGCAAAAGTATCGAAACAGATTAAGGTTGCAGAAGAAATCAAAGTAAATCAAATATAAATCGAGTGTATTGCAGACAGATGGACTGAGCTTATCAGACGTATCTCTATGCGGAATAGACTATAAAAGAATTTGGAGATAGAAGTGAAGCATAGACAGCTTTAGTGCATTTATCGATCATACATCGATATATGCAGCAAATAAAGTAAATTATGAATGTATAATATATACTGAATATAGTAGCTATATTATATAGATATAGTATGATATAGATAGAGCATGATTTTCAGTATTCTTAACGATTTGTGGGGGATAGAGTTATAATGAATAAGTGTGTATGTCAGCGTATGATGGAATATATACACATTTCACAACAAAGCAATCGATAACATATCGATTTATAAAACAGTATAAAAGTAGTAGAAGCAGAATGGATCAAATTATTTAAATTAAAATAAAATCAATTAGATTTTATAGATCAAATAAATAGTGAAATAGAAATCGAACATTTAAATCGATAAATTATCAATATTGTCAGAGGAAGCGTATGTGGAAAGCCAATTATATTGGAGTAATTATATAATAATTTATCATTGAGTTTTATTTTTATTTATTATCGAGTTGCATTTAACAATAAATTATAATAGATTGAACAGATAAATTATCGAAATATGCAGCCGAAGAAGTCTATACGATTTATTGTATACTTAGATGAGCAATATATAAGAGTTGATAGAGTGATATTCATATAGTTTAACAGATGTTAATTGTAGAATTGATCTGTGACATATCTAAATATATGATCCATTAATATGCTAGATTAATGCTACAGCTTACATAATTTTTTAAAGAGACTTCAACAAACTTGATCCCATTGTACTTTGCCGCATGCACTTGGAGACGCCACACTCGACGTTCGGTCTTGTGTATAAGGAAATTCACTTTATTTCTCTGTTGACTAAAGTAATTGGTGATTTAATGATGTTGCTGCATAACCAAATCACCTAACGAAGTCGCAGTTGACAGTCAACTAGGCGAGGCACTGGAGAGCAGCCAGAGCTCGAGCATAGTTCGAGGAGCAGGGAATCATCATCGGGCGTATTCATCGATGTGAAGTATTTGCGTAGCAAACAATTGGAGAATGAACTGTTCTCTGCACAGTGCTCTAATTGTAAATGTGCAAAAAGTAAATTACGAGACATGAATGAGGGGTAGCCAAGTGGCAGTTGAGCCACAAACTCAACCTCAACCTCAGCCCGAGCAATTCGCTTTATTTAGAAAATATTGATTTCTATTAATGCCGAGTGCTAAGCAAACAAACCACATGGCCAAAGCAGCCAGACAGTCAGTCAGTCAGTCATTCAGTCAGCCGTCAGGTTGCTCGGATGAGGCAACCGGCAGCTCTTGACTCCTGAATGGCTTTGGCCCCGTCTACCAATTCAAATGCGGTCGGGCATAATCACCTCGGGGAGTCCATAAATATTGTATTAAAGCGTGCGCTGAAAATTAGTCCAAATTAAACCTGAATGCCAGTCAAGAGATTCGTTTTGAATTGATGCGCCCTGGCCAGGAGCAGGGAAGGATGCCCTTTCGATTCGGTAGAGGGCCGCACGCTCCCTTAATCATTTCCTATTGACACAAGCCCGACGCGGTCAAGTCAAAATCAAAGATAATTTTCTAAGAGACGAGGAAGGAGTGCATACATTTTTTCTCCTTCTGCGTCCTTTGCGCAAATCGAAGTAAACGGCATAAATGGATTAGGGCAGGTGGAAGCGGAAAACGCGGCCATTTAAATGAGTTATGCCTAGGAAGTAGCGAGGGCCCATGGCCTAAACGGCAAATAAAACGGGCTAAAGCGATTAATTGACGATTTGTTTATGGCTCCAATAATGGCTCACTCCAATTAACTTGCAAAATTGATTGGCCTGAAAGTTGAAGCTCCTTGAAAATGAAAACAATTTGCGTATTTGCTTAGTCAAGTTTAGGGCTCATGGAATATTACAATAAGGCCTCTTATCAGGTCTGAACTTAGCTTATAGGAAGCATAGATTGGTAAACCTCTCAGTGAGCACTTGTCTCAATCTGCATCTGAATATAAATTTCAAAATGAATCTGACCCTGTTCAGTAAACAGACCCAGAGAAACTTTCATTCGCTTACAGCAAGGAAATCTCATGAACGACTGATTGCATTTCACACTCAACATGAATGCACTCATTTCGATTCCTGCCGAATCATTTGATGGCCTCAAAATCCATTCGCATTAGATCATCTCGTATGAGCACATCATCTCTTATGCACATAAGTATCTCAAAGGCACATTGCGGCGCTTTTCCTTTGCTCGGCTTATGTCCAGCTGCAGCAGTTGTTGCTGTTAGTGTTGTTGTCATTGTTTCCTCTGTTGTTGTAGGTGATTGTGAGGCCCTGCCATACAGTGGCTTTTTGTCCTGACATGGTCATTCACACACACCCACACGCACACATACGCACAGTTGAACTGCGTGCACCGAAAATCGACATGAATTGATAAAGTCATTTGCAATTGTCTGTCGTTATGGCTCTATGGCTCGCTCTGTGAGTTGTTGTTGTTGTTTTCGTTTCGCGTGTTTGTTGTTGTTCGCTTTATACAATGGCATGAATGCTTGCATTGGCGCTGTTGTTATTGTTGTTACTGCTGCTGCTGCCGGCCAGTTATTATGGCTACTGCAATTTTGTAGCGCTTAATGTTTCGGCTCCGGGTTCGGCGTCCGTCTGTCTGTCTGTTAGAACCCGGGCCTGAGCCGAAAGTGCGAATGCGATATGAGGATTAAAATTCATAATGAAAACCCCAGCGATGCAACAACATCAACAACAACAAAATGAAAATTGCTATAGTTGTTTTTCAACTACAATCGCATGTGAAAAGGGGTAACAGCCACACAGGGCAAACCAGTCAACCGGGCAGCCAGGCAGCCAGGCAACAAGGCAGCCAGGCAGACAGAGCAAAATCAGTATTTGGGGTGGCGTATGGCTCTAGATCTACCACAAAACCGCTTGTGCGCTTCAAGTTTAATTAAACATTGACAAAAACCAGACAATGCCACAATAGACTGAGCTCTATAGGTAGATTACAATTAAGTTTTCGGCACTGCAGCGAGGGGCAAAGAGCGCAGCCAACTGATTGAACAGCTGCTAAATTATTAATCAACAACAAACATTAAATGTGGTTTAGAAGGCGGCATTTATATATGAATGCGAAGCTATGCAGTGAGCGGGAGTATGAAGAAAGGAATTAGCAACGAGGTAGACAAATATTAGCAGAAATTAGTCTATGATTCAATCGTAATATATATAAGCATAGAAATTATAAATACTAATATAGAGTATGGCAGTGCTAAGAAGAGGAATATGTAGTATAAATTAAAGTAAAGTTAAGAATAACGAAATGGTAATATGATAAGAAACTTTATAGCATTAAAGAGTACTATTTAATTAAAAATATATTATATATAAAATATATAATAGTACTATTTAATTATAAAATATAACTATAAAATATAAATAGTAGTCTAAAGAAATTAAAATAGCAGAAAAACTGCTTGTGCGAAGAAAGAAAAAGCAGTTGAAGAAAAGTATGCAGAAATAGTAGTAAAACAGAAGGAAAAGTAGTAGTATTAAATAGTAACACTATGAAATAGTAGTAGAAAATAGTACTACAAACGTATAACTAGCAGTATAAGAGAGAAATACTACTACAATGAAATAGTAGTAACAGAAATGGTTGTTTAAATGTAGGATAAGGTAGTATAAAGTAGTAATGACATAACAGAAACAGTATTAAAAAAGGAGTATTTTAAAATAGTATAAAATTGGTATTAGAAACACAAAAGCAGTGATATAAAAAAGGAGTAATAATATAATAAAATAGTAGCATAAGAATAGTATCATAAAAAATAGAAGCATAGACAATGGATTCCCTAAAGATAGAAAAAGTAGTATGAAGCAAAATAAGTATACTGAAATAGTAGTAGAACACAAGAAAAAGTAGTATGTATAAATGGAAAAAACTAACAAAGAGTAGTATAAAAATTGTATTAACAACATAAACATTTTATTACAAACATAAAAATAGTAGTATAAAAGACTCAGACTCGCCTCTCACTCAGTCGCTCAGCCGTCAAGCAGCAATAAAATAACAAATCAATTTCCATTTTCCTTATCGAACAGCAAACAAATTAGTCAAACGATATCGCGAGCAATATTATTGGTCATATATAAGTTGATGCTCAGCTAGATTGCAATTTGGCATGCAGCTTAAAGTTTCCTGCAGTGCGTAATTTGGTCGTCTGGTTGCCAGCTCATGAATGATAAGCTAATCATGCATTGGCCAGGCCTTGGGCTTCCGAACTAATGTAATTATGGACTACTTGCCATGACAACCTTTTGCCCGCTGCCTCTTGTCACTGCTTGCTTATTATGGTTCGAATTCAATTTAATTTGATACGCACGGATTTTGCGACTAGTTGCAGCAGTAGCCAACAGCAGCAGCAGCAGCAGTTCGAGTCGATTGAGGTCCATCTACATACATATATAGCCCAAAAATTGTTTGCAGTTCAACTGTGGCTCAATTGACCAGCCCACACACTAACGAGCAGGCAGCTCAACTGGCTGAAGTTATGGCCAGACGGGTCACAGTCCAGCCAGGGCAGGCCAATCAAGGGCAGGGCAGGGTAGCACGTTGCAGCAACGGACAGGACAAGCAATGTTGTACTCATCGTCGTCGTCATCATCATCGTCGTCATGCAAAACTCATTGGAGTCGTTAGCGTGCGTTGTGCCAGGCTCCAACGCCCTGCCTGCCCAGAGCCAAGGACATAAAGCACAATGCAGGCACACACACAGGCGCCTGATTGTAGTGTGTGTCATGGCGAGTATTGTCGAGCTACCGCTTGGGCTTCATTGATCACACACACACACACACACGCACACACTCGCGTGGACATACGCTTGCCCGTGACCCAACAGTTATTGGCTTAATTTACGTTTGGGTTTTGGCTGCCTGATTTTTTTCACGGCCCAAATAATGTGATAGTGGTTTTTCACAATTTACGCACTGGCCATGGCACCGAAATTAATTTTAATTGTATGCTCATGTGTGGGCACTTTTTATACACGTGTGTGAGTGTGTGTGTGTGTGTTGGGCGTGCTCCATTTTAAATTACCCAACATTAAAAAGAAAGTAATTATTCAAGTTGTGCGGCTCTATTCCCCCTCCTCTTGCTGTGTGTGTCAATAAAATTGGCTTCATTATATTGTTGTTGTTTGTTAATTGCTGAGGCCCCTCAACATTGATAAGGATATCTGGGGCTTTAATGGTGCTCTGCTGTTGCTACCTTTAGCTCATTAAGGCTTCCATATCCTGCCTGATATCCTTTATCGCCTGATGAGTTCGTCTTCTTTTACACAATTTCTTCAGCTTCGTTCATTATGAAAGCAACGTCCATTCGATTGATGCGTTTCCTTTCCTTTTCCACTCGCCCATCATCTTTGGTCTCTCTCATCTCCGATTGGCAAAGGATATCAAATTGCTTGACAGCACGTGGTTGGCATTTTTAATCTGTGGTTTCTTTTATTGTTTTTGCGTGCGGCAATTATTCTTAATGAAATTTTGGGTAACAGCTTGAGCAGCACTTAAATTCAATTAAATTTGAATTTTAAGTCCCTTTTTTTCGCTCTTGAATAGAAATCACAGTTTTCCAGCAGATACCATAGCTGTAGTGTGAAGCCAATATACTCTTTCTGTTTCATGAACGAGCATGCGATATCAATTACGCATCAGAAGCGAACTCAATGCCGGCCCAAGCCTCATTATCTTGTTTGCTGAGGCAGATTTGCTAATGAAGGATTCAACTTATTCGAAATAAATATTTTCTAATTAAAACTTGAGTTTTTTCAATATTAATTTATCAGCAAATATTATGACAGAAAATTTGGAAATTAGATTCAAAGCTTTCACAGCTGCTGAAGAAGTTTCTATTGGTCAACTTAATACTCTGTGATATATCAACATATGCATATATAGAGACATCGATATAGTACAACTGAATGCAGTTACAGTTGCCTATTGTCCATTTGGCCCTTAGCATTTGGCCATTTGTGCAATTTAAGTTTTCATTTGTCATTTGCTTTTTGCCCTGCTGCCAATTGCCATTGCGATGCCAGTTCAAAATTGAATTCTGGCCCATAACTGCAGCAGCAACAACAACGCAATGGCTGCTGCCATAACGCTACATAAATAAACCCATTGGAGCTCGCATTGCAGTTGCAGTTGCAGTTGCAGTTGCAGCTGCAGTTGGAATGGGCCATTGGCTGCTGCCCAGCTCCCAGTTTTGTGTGCGGCTTAGGATCCATGGCCTGCGGGGCCAGGCCGCGCGACCAGCACCACCAAAAACGCATGTGCATTGTGATGTGGTGGCAGCTATTCGATTTTATAATCAACAATGCCAAACCAAAGTGGAGTCACAGCTTTTGTCCTGCTGCTACCGCTGCTGCTGCTGGCTCATAATTTTAATTATACTGAGTGCCAATGAAGTCAACAGCCATAAGACTAAAGCGGGCAGCGATTGATGTGGCGGTTGGGTTGCGGCTGAGTGCTGGAGAGCTATAGGGCCAAGGGCTACAGGGGATCAGCATAATCTATGTATGGCCATTGCCATTGCCGCTGCCGCTGCCGCTGCCGCTGTCGTTGCCATTGCCTTTTAGCATTAGCAACAGCTGTCTGACTTTCCACTGCATTTATATTTATTATGATGCCACACGGCTCACGGTGAGCGGAGGTTACGCTTCATGCATGCGGCGCCCGGATATATTAGCGGCGCGTTGAGCGATGCGATGCGATGCGACGCAATGGTTCGCTCAATAAACCGCAAACACCCACCCAAGCAGCGGGGGAGGGGGGCGGAACGTCAAAAGATACACGTATGCAAGACACAGGAAACAGGACGCAGGCAGCAGGACACAGCAGCCACACACAGGACACAGGACACAGGACACAGGCCACGAGCCACAAACACTGCTGAACATATGGATGAATGCAATATTTTATTTTATATATTATTATTACGAGCATTACCGTACGGTGCGCACCACGCACACTCGTACAAGTGGCCAGTTTTTAGTTTGGTGGGTGGTTTCCATGGCGTGGCAGGGGGCAGGGGGCAGGCTGCAATCAATCCGCAGACATTAATATTTTCGTGTTGCCAACCGCAAATTGTTGCGGCTCTCATGCGATGCAGCAGCAGCCACTTACCCCATCCTTTGAGCTGGACTGCCTGCCCCTTGTGTGATATCATGCAACCCTCGATGCGGATTGAGTGGAATCATAAATTAATTAAAAGAGATTTGTTTGCGGCTTGCAAAGGATTCGGCCACACACAGTCAAACAGGAAGCTGCCAGGCGAGCAACAACAAAGAAAATGTGCGTTGGCTGATATTTCACTGTTACTGTGTCTGTATTTGTGTGTGGGTGGATGGGCGGTTAGTGTGTGTGTGTGCTAGAAAATTAAAGCAACATTTTTCGTAATGCCAGCCAAAGAACAAAATTAATTAGCCTAATTGTAAGGGCGGTCGAGACAGCGAACGGTGCGGAAGCCACGGGGCCAGTTGGCAATCATAGATGGCGCTAACGAAACAAAACGAAACGAAACGAGGCGAAATGAATGAATAGAGGGAATGAATGAAATGAAATGAAATGAAATGAATGTATAAGGAATTTATATTGCGCGAAAGGCGCAGAGGCGTAGCTGCCTGCAATTGTCTGGGAGTCTAGCGAGCTCTGTTAAAATAAACCAAAGACCAAAACAAAAACAATGAGCGAGCTAAGAATATTTAAAATAATAACGCTTTATATGGTGTTAACTTAATGTGTATGCTATTCTGGAGTTGTTTAAGCATTATGTGTATTTATATATATTAAAAAAAGGAAGTGACAAGGAAAATTAATGATGAGTTAAACTCAAAAAGGGTTCTTACAGCTGCCGACTTAATAGCCAAAACCAACAAAAAAGATAAACGAAAAATATATAAACAGATCAGAGAAAACAGGAGAGAAAAAAAAAACAAATCTAAGCCAGCTCATTAGTCATAGCACCTTCTGCAAACAACAGCTATTTTTGGCCGCAGTTCCTGCAAAAGTGGTTGCCACAACGCCCCTGATTGCGGCACAGCGAGGCAACTGCTTTGAGGTTTTACACTTTTGGGCCATTTGCTGGGGGTTTTCGAATGCCTGGTGCTCCTGTATTTGCTGTCTGCCCTTCTTTATTCGAGTGCGGTTTTTATTTCGTTTGGTCGCGTCACCCTCAGTCGTGGCATGCCCAAGAAGTAACGTATTTGACGCGTCACAAATGAAAATCTAAAAGATTAATTAGCTCAAGTTTTTGGCCGTTCGTCTTACCCTGAACTTCCCTTCGACAGCGCAAAGCCCGCGCAAATCTGCGCCGACTTACCAACTTGCCAAGCCCCCTCCGGCCTCTGGTCCGTGGCCCCGGCGGGAGTATTTGAAAATCTGCTGGCAAAGCGCCTTTTGGGGCTGTAATAAATTTTAAGTCCTAATCAAAGTTGACAATAATAATAAAGTTAATAATGTTATTTTGCTCTTCTCTTATACTTTCTCTTTCTGTTCTCTTCTCCTCCCGTACAGCGACTCAAATCCGGTGCTGATTTCATCACCGCCCGAATTGGCTGGCATGACTTTGGAGGCACGTCTGATATCCTACGATTGGGAAAATCAATTTGGAGAATTTCAAGAGGCAACACGCAAAGGCAGCTTTAAGCCCATCTGCTGGGGAGCCAAGAATCATGTGGTGCCGGTGAGTAAGCAACTTCGATTTACCAAAAACGATAAGTGTAACCAAGTGAAAGTCACAAATAAAATGTAGCAGAACGAAATGCGAAGGATATATACCCTAATCTTAAAGCTAAAGTGAATATCAACTACATTAAATGCCAAAGAATACACTTATACATTAAATGCTATAGAAGACACTTATACACGTAGTCACATAAAGTTACACTATACACATACTTATGCTCACGCACTGTCACTTTTAGAAATGCGAGCGCTGCTTATCTCGCTCCCACATATGTAAATACCAATGCAAATTAATAGAGGCATCAGCTTTATAGTAGACTCTTATAATTGCGCGAAGAGTGAACATACAGCTTATCGCCCTTATACGTTTTTATAAGCATGCGTGTATGAAGTGTATGCGAGTTGCGTATCGATCAAGTATTAGAGTGCACCCAAAGCTCTTCTACTTGTTTGAAGGCCTTGACAAGTGCGATTACTGTTTATCTCGCTCACACATATGCAAAAAGAAGCACAGAGTCGGTCTGAATAGAGCATCCTCATTTCAATGTCTCTACTTTCTCCCATTACTCTCTTCTAATTCAGTCTCGATGAACCATCAGAATAAAACAAGACAATTTGATTTCATTCCGTTGCCGTACATGACAGAACATAAATAATAAGCATCAAAAGACATTCAATGAATTGTTAATTATTCACTTACATAAACGCAAATCAGTTGATGTATCGAAAGGTAAAGTCAATTTTTCAAAACGTTCGTTAGCGCTGCTTTTGCAATTCTATTGCCAATATATATCCTTGAAAAGGAATGGCCATCGTAAGCTGCTGTCACAGTTGAAATCGCATTAACCCTTCGCTTGTCAACTCTATTTTATCTGCTCTCTGATCGCTGGCAACATTTTTATTTTTACATTTTTTGCTGCTTTCGCTGCTTTTCCTGCTTTACATCCATCAGCTTAATCAGCTAAATTGCTAGACAATATCTGGGATAATTTTTCTTGCTGCCGTTTGGTTTGAGAGCCAGCGACCCACACACACACACACAGACATGCACACACACAGACGCTAGACAAGTGCTCATTTATTCATCGTGAGGAGCATGGGCAAAAGACATTAGAGGCATCCTAGTCTCACAGTTGGCGTCCGCAGCCCCACTGGCTACATCCTTCTTTCTCTCTCTCGCGCCCCTTTACTGCCCGTGAGAGGGCTTGGATAATGTGGCTGCAGCAAAGCGGGTAATGTCTACCGGAAACCGCACGTTATAAAGTGCAATCAATTGCAGTTGCTGGCTGCCTGCTGCCTGCCTGCTGCCTGCTGCCTGATGGCTGGTTGGCTGGCTCAATTGCTGGCAATGGGCAGCATTCGAGTTTGTTAGCGCCACTTTACGGGCCAGACGCGGCTCAAGCGGACCACACCAGAGCAGAGCAGAGCAGAGCAGTGCAGAGCATAACAGAGCAGAGCCAACCAGGTCACATATATATCAGGCGGCGCACACGTACAGCTTCGACAACGATCATTCTAATGGGTCACACACTAAAACCAAGTCGCTAGCCAGCTGCCAGTCAGCCACACTAATTCACGTCCAATGGCTCAAGCGATTCGTCCAACCAGCCCGACCCATCGACCCACCAACTGACTGCCTGGCTGGCTGGCTGACTGAATGCTCCCATATGACCATGCTTCTAGTCGCTGGAAAATTGTAGGAAATTGCTTAAGTTGGGAATTGTTGCCATTTTCTTCTCCATTTTTTTTTGTGCCCCTGGCTGGTGGGCAGCAAAATTATCAACGCTTGAATTGTCATCGATTTTCCGTGTTATTGCGTTAAATGTTGTTGACCATTTTCCAAGTTGGCTTGGGTCTCATCTCGCTCTCGCTCTGGCTCTCCCTCTCCCTCACCCACTGCCTTTCGCTTTTTTCTTCAGCTGTCAAGTTAATAATTCATTGAGGCGGCCTCGAGGCATCGGCCATACCCATTGAATTTATAAAGCCCCGCAGCGCACAAATTAGCAGCGCGAGAATAAACCTCATCCAGCCGATAAAATAGTTGTGCAGCCCAGGCGAATTATGAGCAAACATGTCACTCAGCTCTGCAGATTGAAAGGTAAATGGCGTTCAATCTACCGTAAAAATCTACAAGGCAAAGAGAGAGAGAGAGAGAGAGATGGAGACAAAGAGAAAGGCAAAAACTTGCTCCATTTGGCTAAGCGAACTTAAAAAAAGTTGGCAAACAAAAAAAATATCAATCCCCCAGGAGTAGATAAAGGAGTTTTTTTTTCATTCTACAGATGCTTTCACAGTCGTTGGGCTGGAAGGCCTAGTTTTCAAATTTAGAAAATTATCTATTTAATAAAGTTGACTTCAAAATTCTTACTCACTCAGCTACGATTAGAGGCAACTTTCAACAGTCTTTCCTTCCATAAGAATTCTAAGTTCGAGCTCCTATTGCTCTGGCAGACCTTTCAGTCAGTCAACCATTGGTAACTCTTCCTAACTTGATAGGAACTGAGTGGGGATTACCCCATATGTTTTTTGCCTGAAATACCAACGCACGTCACACCTGCCTGACAACAAGAATTGCCTGGCAACACTAATTAGCATAAAGCAGGGGAGACTACAGAAAAAAAGACACAATGCCATAGTGGGGAAATGTCTGTCATATCAAAAAGTCGCTCGAATGGGCCGTGGCCTAAAAATCAGGGCCAGCCCCACAGCTAATTAGCATGTCAAAATCCGAAAGGAATCTATGCGAAATCCAGCCCATACGTGGGCTTAAAGCCCGGCAATTAAGGCCTTAAATTTATGCACATTTTATAATTTTGTTGGCCCCGTGAGCAAACCCGTGCATTCCTTTTCAATTATGCTCTCGCCCTCCCACTCCCACTCCCACTCCCACTCCATCTGTGTGTTGGCAGCAACAATAACAGCAGGGAAGGCGAGCCCAAACCACAGACACCTTCAAAAGCTACCCGCAAAATAAAAGCTGTCCAAACACACCTGCAAATGTCTGTCAAGTATTTCCTTTATTTTTGTTTTTTTTTTCCTTTTTTGTGTCCTGGATCTGCGCTGGGGGTGAACGTAAAACGATTCTGAAAATGCCTTTTGAAAAATTCAACAGCCAACAGCAAACAAACGAACGAAACGTTGGTTCCTGTTGCCAATGTTGTTGGCCCGTCGCACGATTTGCATAATATTATTAGTAAACACTCGTTATGAAGTCTCTCACGCCCAACGCGCGCCACGCCCACTGGCCAAATGCAGACATTCACTCGATTTAGATATATTTCGACTGCCATAAAACATTTGACCGCAGCCCCAAAAAGATCCCAAATCCAGCGTCGAGTCGAGTCGACTGGAGTCGAGTCTCGCGAATCCCTCCCACAAGCCGCACAGAGACAGAGCGAAACGACAACAGAGAGAGAGAGAGAGAGAGAGAGAGAGAGACAAGACCAGAGCATAGCAGACCCTAGCATGTCCTGCCCAGTGCCATGGCCATTGCCATTGCCTATTTATAAACACAAATTTATGCAGCGTAATTAAAAGGCAAAATTTTGCCCGCTGGATCTGGATCTGAGGAGTGGAAAACGACAAATCTGATGGCTTCATTGTGTTCTTATTGTGCCTGGGCAGCTGTAGGTGTGCAGGAGTTGGGTAGGTGTGTAGGTGTTGTAGATTTGCGCCCCGAAGTCAGAACGAGCCGAGCGTCTAAATACGGCATAAAGTATGTTTAATCACGGCAATCGTCTGGAATAGCGCACAGCTACGAGCCACGAGCATAATTTAATTTAGAAATTTAAATTCCAATATGAATATGTAGATTAAATAGAGCACGTATCTCACTTGCGTCTTAAAGGACTTTAGATTAGACCAATTGGAATTTGGCAATTTTGCCAAATGAAATTAGTTAAATGTAAACATTAAAAGGAATTTACTCTCAAGGAAAAATATATTTGAATAAAATTTATTTTGAATACCAAAATTCTTTGTCTGCTCTGTTCACTTGGTCAGAGGCTTCGCTGGCTTTAGACTAATCTATAGTCATAGAATTCCCAACTGGTTATAGCTCTACTGATAAGAAAACTGAGAAGTTCTTGAATTGGCTGTACATCTGCTCAGTTTGTGCTGCAATGGTTGATAAATAATAATAAAATATATTAACAAAAGTTAAATTATAATATTTACTATTAATTAATACTATTATTTCAAAAGTCAATTAAGTTACTTATTATTAAAAATATAATAAAAGCTGAGCATCGCTAAAGAAAGGACAAAATTAAATTTTACCTTAGCGACTCAACCTCTCGAAGTCATCTCAGTGCTTATATCCACAGTAAAAGTATATATCTCTATTTATATATTCTGTATATAGCTTAACTATCAGTGCACTAAGCGGCCCTCCTTCAGTCAGATTTAACAGAGTGCTTCACTCGTCTTTTTATTTACTTTAACTTTAACTTTTTAATAACTCACAGCGCTGTCCTATTCAAAGCTCTTTTGACTTTTCCAGCAGTCATATGTATGCAGTTTTATATGATATTAAAGTATTTATAAATGAGTTCCGAGATTGGGGCGCTTTGCTGTTGGTTGCTCCAAGCGACAAAGACATAAAAGCATTCATTCTTTTAATTTCCTTTCACTCTCAGTGCTGGCTGCGTGGGTCATTTGCTTGAGCTGGTCTAGTATAATAGTTGGAGAACGAAGAAAAATTTAATTAATGCTGTAATTTATTAGATGCGGAGCGAACGCTAATGTTTATCCATTTCCTTTTTTGCAGGGCTCCGAGTTTCTCGAAGGCTACAGCATAAATGTGACCAAAACCTACAAGAAGCACAAGCGCTGCAAGCCAAAGCGCCTCTTCGCCCCCATCACGGAGCGCACCGCGCCCGCTGCAGATCTGAGTGAGCTGCCCGTGCTGCACGAGCTGGACAACAACAACATCATCGAGGGAGCAGCGCGCAGCAGTCGCAGCTCGGCGACCGATGGCCATGGCGGCCTGAGCGGTGCCAACGGCAGCAATTGCAACCAACTCACCAGCGGCAGCTGTCTGCTGTGGCTGTGGCTGGGCGCCGTCTCCTGGTGGCTCTTGCTGCTGCCCCGGACGTGAGGAGCAGAGCAGCATCCACAGCAGCCGGCAGCAGGCACAGGCAACGGCAACGGCAACGGCGAAGGCACAGGCAAAGGCAAAGGCACAGGCACAGCAGAGCGAAGCAGCACAGGCACCACCGTCTAACTACACTATATATACATAAATACTTAAAAAACAAAAGCAAAACGCAACTACAACTCTTTAACTATAAATGACAGCTCTTAATCCTACTACGAAACAAGTACAGACAGCAGACAACACAACAACTTGAGGCACACACACACAGGCACACGCAAATAACAAAATGCGAAAGCAACGTAAAAAAAATATTAATTATTTATAATAAGCTAGATACCCTTTACGGCTCCACTGCCCCCTTCCCTCTCCTACCCAACCCACCCTTCTCCTGCTGTTTCCCACTGTTTTATTTATGCCGAAGTCTCGCAAATTTTGTTATTTTTGTTCTAGCTCTTAGTAAATTATTAATGATTTGATTTTAAGGTACCTTAAGCAAAAAAATAAATGATAAAAAGAATCAACATAAAATTTATCAAAAAAAATCCCAAAAAAAGAAATATTCGCGTACCGCATTTTAAAAACCGAAAAGCAATAATTAGTTGTTGTTGTCGTTATATGATATACAAGAAAGCAAATATATATACATATAGAACGATACGATATTAAAAGAAAAACAAAATGAAAATGAAAAAAAAACTAGTGCAGTCATTCCTTCTACATAATAGTTTCATTATATAGTATATATATATAAAATATATATCGTATATAGGGTCTAACTTATGTAAAGCTTGAACGTCTGATGATTTTTGTTGGACATTGCAAGACACAATCGCAACTGAAGAGATTCAGAAAACAAAAGAAAACCACTTGAGCAAAGGCATATATAGCTGTAGGGCAACTAAACTAAACATACATTAACATACTCGAACATAGATCGTAAAGCTAGAGCGTGCAACATAATACACACATAACACATAATTAAAACCCAGTTAAGTTTAGTCACTCGTAGTGTGCGCAAACTAAGGAACTAAGTTCGAAGCGTAGATAAGCAACAAAAACAGAAGTAAGCAAAAGGCATTCAAAAAAACTACATACATTACACATATAACATTTATACGTCCATATTTAAACAAGAAACAAAAAGAGCAAACAAGCAACTAAGTAAAGGAAGGACTTATTTAGTTGAACGTTTGGAAAGACTTGCTTTTGAGACATGGCGTCAAAGACTAAACGAAGTTTCCAATTAACTATAATTTCACTTAAGTCTAGCTGTTACCCAGACGACATTGATATTTTACTATATGAATTCGAATAGTTTGCTAAACTTAGACTAAGCGAACAGAAAGTTTCTTTAAGTATCTGTCCTCTACAATAGTTCTACTGTATATTTTTGTTGATTTTCCACAAGCTATGATAATACGCATTTAACACTAAGTTGTATTTCAGTTACTATTTCCAATCTCAACTCGACTCAACTCGACTCAACTCAACTCAACTCAACTCAAAATGCTCTACACTCAAAGTGTTGCCTTTCTCTCTCCTTATATATACATAAATATATATATATCGTTCAACTCTGTCTCTCTTCTAGCTATAACTAATTGTATGCTAGATCTAACCTGTAAATACTTTAGATATATGTTATATTCGATAAGGCAACTTCTAAGGCAAAAGCAAAATGCAAAAAGCAAAAACAAACTCGGTTTTCGGTCAGATATTTCGCCAATGTGAGGAGCTAAGCATTATACAGGGTGTGTGAGTAGGTATTTCGAATGGGCCTAGATATACAGAGGTATATATTTATAGGCTACTCCTAGACTATATATGTATAACTTCTAGCTGGAGGTAGTTAAAATATACCATATACATACGTGCATACATACGATTACGATATATACACACACACACATACACACACACATGATACACATTTATATATACATATACATATAAATAACTAAATAACATAAAGTCTATATATACAATACAATACATCTATAAGTAGTTACGTGGTTCGTAGTTGTAAATGTGAATGTGAGTATTTTATACAAAACCGAAAAGAATATGAATAATAAAAGAACTAAAAATAAAAAGCAGCGCGTGAAGCAAAGCAAATAAATGAGAATAAAAGAAAAGAAAAACAAATTCCCAAAAGTAAAGTTACAATTTTTATACCAAAAAACAAGCAGAGCAACTCGCGCGATTGCTATTATATATATATAAATATATATATATATGGAATTATATATATATATATATATACATATATATAACATGAATGTATATATATATATGGAAAAACTATATAGTATATATTTTTAGGATAACTGCTATTAACTATGGCATTAACTATGGATTAGAGACAAGTTGGCAAATGCAAAGTTGAAACAATCAAAAAAAAAAAAAAACAAAACCAAAAACAAAAGCAAAAAACACATATTAAATGGAACGTGCGCAAGCTGACAAAATGTTAGCCACAAATAAAAAAGAATACAGATATATATATATATATATATACGTATATATATATACACATACTAACACACACACCTGGATACAGAAAAAACCTACAAAATAATTTTGAGCTCTGTTAGAATTTGAAAAAAAAAATGCAAAGTTTGTTGTGCACAACGCTCGAGTACTGCGCCCGTGGGCGCGGCCGCTAAATATGGGCCAAAATGTTTGAGGATTTTTTTGTGTTTTATGCCTTACTGTTTCTTTTTTATTCTGTTTTCCTGCATTCAGGCCACTTGACGTGCAACTCTTTGCTGGCTGTCGAGTAAGACTCCGCGTGCTCGCTCCAAGTCCTGCTCGCAGCGCACAAAGCTTTGACCCAGTAAAAAAAAACAACAACAATGAGTGTGTCTAATTAGGAAAAGGCAGTAACTCCACCTACCAACCCCCACCCCTCCCTATAGAATGGAAGGCGAAGGAAAGCCGGCAAGTGTGCAACAAGCAAAAGGTATTCAATTCGCTTTTTTGGCTCGGGCTCTGTGCCATTTCGAAGTCTCGCTTTGGCAAGTTTTTGTGCAACATTTTAATTAAGAGTTACAGATTCACAAAATGCACAGAGAGCCAAAAGCTTTGACGATTGAATATTTGTTACGGCCTTTGGCAAGAGCAGCAACCACAACACCCACAACACCCACCACACCCACAACAACAACAACACAGACAACATCTACACTGAAAAAAGAAAACAAAATAACGAATGTAATAATAAAAAGTATTCATATAATTTAGTTAAATGCTAACAAAAACGGTTTTGGAAAATGTACTTGCGATAGCTACGACAACAAAAGTCAGAAAATAGTTTAAAAAACTACAACAAAAAACACAAAAAAAAACAAATGAAATGAAACTAAAGTAACAAAAAGTAAAGTATGTAACTCTGAAGCTAAAAAAGTAAGCGAAACTACATATACAATTCAAAGGCAACAAATACACATACACACACAAACATACAACTACAAAAAAAAAATATAGCGTGCTTTTTGGCGTTTGGCCTTTGGCTTTTGGCTTTTGGCCTTCCAAAACAGATTTGCAGGCGACATTTGTGCAAAGTTTCTTTCTTGTTAATGAAGTTATGTGCAGCTGAGCTTGGCAGAAACTGAAACCAATATGAAATAGATAGATCTGTATACAAGTATACATGTATATATAAATATATATAAATATATATATAAACATGCATATGGCAGAAACACACAAAAACTGAGCAAGTTGTCTGTATAACTTCTCTTATTCACAGAGTTCGCTACTTTAGTTGAGTTAGAACTAGTTGAGAATTCTATGTTTATCTAGGACGTGTAACTGATTAGCGAGCAGTCGCAGCTCTGCCATAACTAAACTAAGCTAAGTTGAACAGAAGTGCTGCAATTTATTGAGAGTGCAATCTTAAATAAATATTTTTAATTCATTAGGTGCTCGTCTCTCTTGACCTGCCCCTACTTTGGCCCACCTCCACGTAGACACATTGCATTAGGTTGCTTTTTAAGTCCGAGCTCTACTTTCTATCTGTTCCTAACTCTATTCAAGCCAGCTAATATGTTTATTTAGCTTTTTTACAAGCTCTTCCAATTAGCTGCTCGTTTGTAGCAATTTCAGCTTCTTAATTTCCTTGCCTCGCCGCTGCAGCTGCCGCTGCCAAAGCCAAAGCTAACAAATCCTTTGTCTGTGGCTGGAAGGCTGCTCGTAAAGCAGCTACCTGTACAATTACCTGGGCACAGTCAAAGTAGCACAAAGCCAAACAACACACAACACACAACAGCACAGAGAACACAATCATCGTTGCATGTTAGTAGAGTACTATGCCATTAAGGCCCCTTTATTGAAAGTTTTCCATTTTTTTTCCTTTTTTTAATTTTTTAAAAGGCATAGAAAGAACGGAAAAACAAAACAAAAAACAAAACCTACCTAAAGCGAAAAAGTAAAAACCTAACTATTTTTAATGTGTACCTTAATTTTGAAAAAAAAAATTTGAAAAAAAAAAATAAAAACAAAAAAAAAGAATGAAACGTAACAAAACCCTGAGAAAAGCGCAAAAATCTCCCTATACAAATAAAAACAAAAAAGAAAAGCCTAATAGAGAACTAAAATTAAATATACATACATACATACATACATACATTCATATATATAACATATATATATATGTATATATATATATATAAAAAGAAAGAAGAAATATAAATCTAAAAGTTAAAGTAAAAGCAATAAAAGGCAAACGCATAGCTATCAATATTGAACAAAAAACAAATAAAGAAAATAGGTTAATAACAAAATGAAATATGACAAAAAAGAAAAAAAAGTAAATAGAACGATAGCAAATAGTCTTGAGAATTGAGTGGAAGAGTGAAGAGTGTAGCATACTTTGTGGGGTTACGGGGGACAGCCTATTGGCTGGAGAGTGTGCGAATGCGTAAGATAATGTGAGGGTAAGTGAGAAACTGGCATATGATATGATGATATAAAATTAAAAAACTATTTTAAAGTAGAGCAGTTGCAAATATTTAAATGTGTCGTTAGTAGCTGAAAATAAAAATGAATAAAGAAATATGAAAAATGAATGGG